CTTCACATATTATATACATGCACACGTTATGACTCTCTGACAAATTAGCATAGATTCCACTCACTTTCTTGTTACGTTTTGCACTGAACGTACGCGTAGGTCTGTCACAACTCCCCCAGGATTCAAGTAATAAATTTTAGTTATTAGTTAATAAATTAGTTACTCCACCTGCAACTTCGTGGACACTTCAATAATTTATGTTCAGAGTCTTTCTCAAGCTATTTACATATTATTTAGTATATACAATTTCTTCTTGAATAATTGCAGATATTGTTTAATATTTACAAGACTATTTACAATTATTTACACAATGACCAACGTTAATTTAGAATGAGTTACTTCGAAGTAGTTAAGTTTCACTGGCTGATTTAATCAAGGAACCAAATTGGTCTTTAGACCTGTTATAGTCTATATATTATATTATTATATCCAAATTGGACCGAGTCACTGATCTAGTTATGCAATCGTTTCAAACAAACCTCAACCCGAAGTAATATTCTTACCCTGGAAACTTCTAAAATAATAATAAAAAGGTTTCTTAATGGAATGTATGAAAAAGCAAAGAAAGTAATCCTAATCTATGAGAAATTAATGAATGAATACTCTAGTAATTAGTGAATAGATATAAGGTAAATAATCCTAATCTAGCCGGCAAAAGAAAATATGAATGGGCCAACCGTTGTCAGTGTTTAAGTCAGTTTCCATTTGGTTTTGAGTGCTTGTGATGAGGGCCTCCCTCTTAACTGTTCAGATGTCCCTATAACGCTACCTCCAGATAAGTCGGCTGGAATAAGGGCAACCGTCACCGAACAACCAGAAGTTCTTGTCTGGGCTGTTACTCGTCACGGGCCTGTCTGCCTCGCGAAACGGACGGTGCTTTCACAAGGTAGGGACGACTCGGCTGGTCGCGGGCATGTCTGCCTCGCCCAGCACGGCCTCTATCTAAGCAAAGTTGCCATCTGCAATTTTTGCAGCAAACGATAATGATATACATGTATACCCTATAAATAGCCACTTCTTCTCATAAATGAAGCTAGGGGGTTTGATCGCCTGGCTTCGTTACAAGATGTCATAAATATCATATAATAATTAATCAAGGCTGATAATAGCTTCATTAAGGCTACATGTACCTTATAAAAGATGCACACCAAAATTAAACAAGTTTCACTGTCCAAGTATCATTATGATGCCTCACTAAGGCGAGTAAGGATCTTTAGATAATAATATAACTGCCATTCAATGTTCAAAGTGACACAAACTGTACAAGGATATAATAACAGTAGGTTCAAACTTACGGTCTGCTGGCAGAGATACCGGTTATTGCTCCTGGAGCCTACCGTCGGCCCAAAACCTGGTCATCGGCGTTCTTAATTAATACATGTATCTGCAAGCTTGTGAAACCATAGTTAGCAAAGCTTCCAATCGTGTTCGATGTTAGAGTGGTGTATATTTTTTTTATTTTAAAAACCGCGGGGTTTGATCACATGACTTCACTGTTCAGAAGACAATACTCAGAACGCCCAAATTATATAAAACACCAGACCATGGCGATATTAATATTCATCCAGAATCATGCATTATTTATCAGTTCTTACCGTACACATATATCTGGGTATACAACGAACACGCACAATACACACATGTAGCACAGTCTACAAACGCGGGACACACAAGTTTTCTACTGAAGCATTACAGCATCTGTTGCTTGGAAAACGCTGACAAAGTTAATCTTGAAGTTTTGAAGAGAGTGTCTAGATATTTGCATAAAACCATTCCCTTTGGTCTAGGAAGGTATGTGGCAAATTCTTCTTCGGGTTTTGGAGAGCCGTGCGAGAGGAACCTTAGACTTCAAAGGGTAACTGGTAAGCAAAAATCATGGAATCGATCCCATCTGAACGACCTTCTATTTTTTTTCTCAACCCTCAGACCGCACTCGGAATTATTTATGAAATAGTTTATGTGTTAGGATCAGCCAAGCATAAAACCATTCGTTTTTTTTTTCCTAGGGACGCATACCGTACACAACCGTGTGGTGGGCGCAGTAGAGTTCCATCGTTTTTAACGTACGTACAGTACTGTTGCGCGTGGGAACGTGATTTAGGGAGTTTATATTTTCGCATTATATTATATTTTCACTTAGTGGACTGCGACGCAATGGCGTCATTTTGACAGTTTGTGCGTACGCTGTGTTCTCTGGCCCAGCCACTGCCAGAATCCAGGACGCGTCCACAGCATATTTGCCGTTCACCTCAATCAAGCACACTGTTCACAGAGGGAGCCATTTTTCTGGTAATCCTTGTAACTGAAGTCATTATTCACGGGACGGTTACCATCATAAAGAAACATAAATGCATCTTAATCCAACACATTGCCAAAATGATGAAAAAGAAGTGCTTCACGGAGTCAATGGATTTTCGCCAAGCCAGCTATCTGAACGATTGATCGTTCAAAATGGCGCGCCCGTGTGATTAACACTAAGACGTTACATGACGTCACAACGCCTTGATAGCGTGTCAACTGAAATCGAAACAGTTTCAAAAGGAAGATAGCCTGAAGGTTGACCCCTGATGGCGCTTCCGGAACCTAGATATGAAAAATGTCGTGCAAAGATTTTAGAATTTGTAATTTTTTTTTCGTTGCTCCAACTTGGAAAAGGGGCTTTGGAAACTATTTGCAAGTCTATCAATTTGTAGAAACTGAAAAATTAACCTGACCTAAAACAGAAATATCCTGCCAAAAATGGACCCATCATTTCCGAAAATCTAAAATACATGAAGAACAGTCCAATGCGGTGGCCTTGTACGCAGATGAACAATAAAAATTTTATGTTAGTCTGTCGGTAAAAGCCGAAATAAAACAGATCAAAATATTTTACACACTTCTATAATTTATGGGCCTAAGGTAATAAACTTAAAGCAATACTATACTGCAATTACGAAAGATTATAATTTTTTATATAACCTTTGCCAACAACTGCGTGATGTCAACTCAACGGAATCTGGAACCCATCGACTGCAGGTAGGTAAATATTTGCACAGTTGTACAATCTCGTTTTCAAGAAACAGGGCAAGTGAAAACAAACGTGTATATGGACTAAGAGACCTAGGTAAGATATCGCCGGACGTAAAAGGTCATTAATAACATTCGTTTTGGTGACTTTTCCTGAATATTTGGTAAAATTCCAACATGTGTGTTTCATGGGTGGTTTCAGTTAGGAATTATTCTTCCAAAAATTATCGAACGTGATAGGACGGCCCAATGTCAAACCCCACAGGCAGACCGAGCAAGGGTTCCAGAAGCGCGCTGTGATACGTTACCTTTTACTTCGAGGCTCTAGTATACAGTATGAACAGGGCAGTTGACTGCTTGAGTGAATTCCGCTGTGTACGTGAACGGCGTTCTCGTCCACACAATCTAAAACCCTCTACTGCTTTTGACCTCCACGTTTACCAATTGACAGCCGTGTATGGGCAAACTCGATGCCATCTGGACTAGTTTGGCCGTAAGGCATGAGAATTGGATCGTCGTACGGTGGATGTCTTTGCCATCTTAATAGATCCAGATTCTCCCAAACCAAAGACTCGGCATAATAGACCAGTTCACAAATAAATTCTAATTTACGTCCGGATGCGTATAAACAATACATGGAAAGCGGAGGGAGTTAGCATGAGTGGCCACTTGAAACGTACCAGTAAACAAATGGACGTGTTGAGATGACCAAAACAGAAAACAAGATTTCACAGACAGACACGGAGGTAGTCCAGTAGGCTGGCCCTAGTCTGGGGCGAGGAAAAATACGTCACGTAAAAACAAAAAACAAATGTTTCCAAAATGTTTTCACAGAGAACGATCTAAAAAGTGCATCTCTTAAAAACATACTTGGAAACAAATGTATCTTGTAGAAACATACCTCACTTTTTCATAAAATATGCTTGATGGTACTAAAGGGCTTTCGTAGTATAGCCAAAAGCAAGCAGCAATCCTTTTCAGAAATGATTTCAGTAAATTAATTTCGCTTCACAATGTGACCAGTAAGACTTTTGCACTGAACTGTATCTTCACCAGATGACTTCACGGCAACAGCATCCTTCCTTGTCCGGGAAAGCATGGATGCATATTTAAAGTTTCCAAAAGTGCACTGTTCGGTGAATTTAACCAAATAGGAACTGTAACAGTTTTTATACACTGAAGAAGAGTACAAAGTTGCAGAAAACGTATGCCTGAGAGAAAGTTATTGCGTATACTTTAAAATGTTGTTTTCTGTAAGGTTGATATTCACTTGCCATGGGCAGCCATTGATATATACCTTCAATACTTTTAAATGAGTCATAATATAGATTACAAACCGTAGCACAAAAGACGTTGCTCAAGGCTGCTGAACTGGATTTCCTTTGTAATTTCTAAGGGCTTAAAACTGACGGGTCCGTTTTCAGATTTTCGGCAATGACAGTTGGACAAAATATTACCCTCGATTATGCCAATAGGTTTAGTTACCGGTTTGTCACCTTTTTTTTTCTGAAGGTGCACTTAAATGGATTTGCACTGTGGGACTGTAGGGAGGTTAAACGGAGCTTTTATTCCAATTAGAACATTTGCGTAGGTAAAGAAAATGCTGCCAGAGAACTTAAGATGACTAAACATTATATTATGTACGTCATGGAATCATATTAGTGTCTGAGGACAATGTCCAATAGTCAAGTTGTTTGCGTGGGACTTCAGCGGGCGTTGTGTCGGGTAAATATCGGATCATTTTGAAGATATACCGTGCTCAGAGTTTAAAGTTATACTCTCCAACAGATTCACATGTTTTACTCTCTTTCTGGTATCCCTGTTCTTATGGTGCAATAAGTAGATAACCAAAGAAATCGTCATCTTCGCCCAGAACAAATGCAAAAAACAAACAAACAAACAAACAAACAAACAAACAAACAAACAAACAAACAAACAAAAAAACAGGGGGAAACTTACTAATTCCGGGTGCAGAAGCATGCCCATACATATTGATTGAACAGAGCCTGGTTGGTCAGGAGTCTTGATTTTGTTGGTAGCGACGCGACCGTAACGCGTACATTTTATAGTCGCTCATGAACCAGTGAAGCGCAGTTCCAACCAAAGGAGCCTCTGGCCGTGTCCGAAACGGGCTGCCAACGCTACAGTTAGGTCTATTGTCTCCAAAGGAGTGACAACCTAGTCCTAGATCTGGACAACCTCATGCAGCCTCTGTTGACATAGGAAAATTGTGCCCTTTATTGGTCAAGCTTGGTCCAGCTCAAGGATCATTCGCGTCAGCCGGTATCAATGTGACGAGAAAACTTCGAAGATAAATTTGCCACTGCCTAATCCCTGAAAACATCGGACGCATCGGACACACATATTGCCATCATTTATTCGGCATGTATCTCAACTCAAAAGGGTGACGATTTGTTGTATTAAATATGATGACGATGACGATGTATGACGATAATGATGATATCGATGATGATTTTGATGGTTCAATCTACGTAAAAGAAAATTAATTTAACTAACCTAAACTAAACTTAATAATCAATTGTTAAAACTATGCATAATTTTAATTGAATTACTTGTCGCAAGGTGTAAATTCTCATACAGCAATTTCCAAATCATTTATTATCATTGAAAGGGAATAGTGAACACTTACAATATTGAGCTTATCCAAGAACAAAAATGGCAAATTCCCTTATTCAACTTTAAAGCTGCAGAAGCTGACGTGGCGAATGACAAAGTGACGGTAGTATAACATTATACGTGTACATATGAGAGAAAACCTACCAATACTGAATTATAATATTGAATCTATTAATTAAGTCACCCGGGTCAGGTCTATCGAGGGCCATACAGAGGGTCAAAGGGAGATTTCATACTCGCAAACCACATGTTGGTCAATTTCCGTTCAAGGGTTAGTGCATTGACAATCATGTATTTAAACTGAGTTAAGTTGACAAACTTATTTAGACAGAATTATTAAAAAACAACCAGGCAATCTAACTTTACAATCAATCTTGACAATAGATGAGCACTTTTCAACTTTGTTCTTTCAGTGATACGCAGCTAGCAACCCCTTTTTGTTTGACATTTACGGGTCCGTTTATTAAAACCGTAATTCATCTTTTGCCTCTCTCTCTAATCAATCTGTTCGTCTTTATACATCTATATGCCTTCGCGGTTGTTCTTAAACCCCTCTCCATGCGCATGTTTCAGTTTAACAGTATTTGCACTGTAGGCCTGATAAATAGAATGTTAAGTCTGCGGCTAGACATTCCTGAGTCAAAGAGGTTCATTAGAAATATGAACGTCATTAATTTGGGGGCTCAGCCTAGCTTAAGTTATGTCTTGATTTTTGGCGCGATTGTATGCCGATTTTCTGGTAAATTTCACTTTTCACTATTCAATTAAATTACTACTTGCCTTTCTTTGTTCTAGGAAAAGTGTAAGAATGATAGTTCAGAGCTTTTCTTGAACCTGCTTTTGCAGTTGATGGCTGCAAACGTCGCCGACATTGTGCTTCGCAATCCAGACGTACACGGAGCGCCGCCTCGATGCGTACATGTACATTTTCTTGTACTTGGCGCGCAAATACTTCCGTCGAATATCACACCAGAATGGCACCAATCGCGATGACACGTTTCAGTGGAGAGTTCCCCATCTTGCGCCGCTGTGCGGTGCTAGAAACTTTGATCATACCAATCCTCGTTGATTGTTTTTGAAACAGCGTCATCTATTGACAAGGAACTAAGGTTCTTCCAGTAGAGGGTGCTATTTTAATAAGGGATCAATGAACTTTGTGGTTCCCTGACTTGAAGACTCCTGGCTACTGTTGATCCAATCGTAGGGGGTTAAGCCTTGAAGTTCTGGGAGTGACGTAGGGACCACTGCATGGACCGTGTCTAAAATAACTCAAATACCAACCCCCAAAATCTAGTCAGCTGAATCTACGGTATTATTAAGTGTAGCTAAATGGTCTAGCATATTAACTATTTCGTTGATCTGCAAGAACTATGCAATTAAGAAATTGAAAGTCAAAAACGACTAAAGATCAACACAAGACCTCTAATCTGAATTTCAGTCACAAGCTATTCAAATGAAGGGCAACAAAAGCATTCCTTTGTAATTGTTAACCCTGTTGTGACTTGTGACTAGTCTTGTGCGTGGTCTTGTGTCTTGTAGTGTGTCTCAACTGCAACACTGATAAAAATCACCTCACTGTTTCAAATCATAATTTCTACATATCGAATAGAATACAGGGAAACATACGTGACACAACGTATAGACTGCGCGAACGTACTGGCTGTTTTTATCTGCTTAGTCAATACACTTGCCCTGTGTTTAGTTACCACATAATCTATGAATTGTGCCAATCACATGGTTTGTCTGTCGCCACTCCTAACTCGATATGGACCTACAGTGGAATGATTTTGGTGTTTCAGGCACAATTTTGTGAACGTGTGTGGCTGGTCGGGTCGACGAAGCCAGCTACGGATGTACCCGGGAACAGTATACCAATTAAAACACTGCAGGATGAACGGCCAACAGCAGCCAGAAAAGGACGACCTTGGAGCCGACGAGAAGGACGATGGAGCCGTCGAATTGGAGGAAGAGGGGAGTGGTGACGAGAATAAGGAGAGGGGGAACTGGTCACACCCCTTGGATTTCGTGCTGTCCTGCTTGGGGCTGGCTGTGGGCCTTGGTAACTTATGGCGATTTCCCTTTCTATGCTACAGGAACGGGGGCGGTGAGTATACGTTCACAAGTCGCGGGTTTTGCAAATTTGTAAAACTGAAGTACTCGAACATAAGCATAATTATTCACTGTTTCTAAACCATGTTTTTTTATTTGCAAATAATAGCTGTTTTGTATTACATGTCTTTAATGGAAAATCAAATTTGCATGTCACGCACATTCTTTTGACATTGTTAATCTGGAAATAATGTCCATAATGTTCACCGACCACGAAAACATGGGTTTTGACACTTGATTTGTTTTGATTGGATACTTGAATGCAAAACTTGTATTTCTACACCAAATTAAGACCTTGCAGATAAATAAATACAAAAGGAGTGTTCAGAAGATGTACAGTATGTGGATGTATTTTGGTTTAAACCATTTTACCTGGACGTTTGGGATGATGTAGCCAGTTTGTATTCGTGATGTCTTTTTGTTCATCTGATCACGGAACTATAAAACCGTTTCATAGCTTCATGATCAGCGTCTGCACGTGCACTGAAATCTGTCATGATTAAGATCAATCCTATGTTGCTGCAGCTTCAGAACATGTGCATTGTGTCTGTGTATTTTGGTTTAAAACAGTTTTTTGTCAAGGAATTTACCTAAATGTTTTGGATGATGGATTCAGTTCTTATTTGGGATGTTTTTTTGTTCATCTAATGCACGCTTGTTGCTTATTATTTTTGGATTGTTCCCAAGTGGAGCATTATTTGATTTTGTCCATACATCATACAACTATTCAGTGGTATTATTGCTCAGAGCTCAAATACTGTTGTGAAAGTGTATACGTCATCCGAATCGTTTTAAGAGGCCGACTTTGAAGGAACAGGAAAATTTAAACGAGCTTTAGAAACTTGAGAAGCTTCAATCCCCAAATGTTTGCGTTTTTGCGTTTCTTCGATTACTCACAATGATATGAAAGAACCAAAATCGCCTATTATTAGAGTTGAATGAGTGAATCTATACAAGAGAAGACTGCGTACGACACTCAGACAAACACTCGAAGGCACGAAAAATCGGGTACCGTCAAAACGAGCATTCCAGTAAACCCAATCCCAAAAAGGAGTCGGAAAATTTCTCGTTATCATTATATCTCGACGCTGACAACTTGGACAGCTTAGCTGTGAGTCTAACAAAGACTTCAGGTCTATGACATTTCCACATTGCATCCTTTTGCAAAACGTTGGAAATAGGGTCGATCTGAATTACTTCACGACTTGCACAGGACCACTTGGTATAACATCAGAAACATGATCGTACCCGATGAATGGTTTCTCTGAGTATCAAAACAAGTTACTGTCGATTCAACAGAATGATCGTTTGCCCCAACTGACGTGTTCTACATTTACAGACGCAAAAACTACTCAGTTGAAACATTAAAGCTATAGCTCTATGGTTGAAACTCACCAAAGTATATCGCGTGCTGTCTACGTAGGAGTCTTGGATCGTGTCGTACACCGACTTGGATCACGTCGTTCTTGCTCCCTTCGTTCAAAGCCCGTAGAGCATTTGGAGCAAGATTTCCTCCCACTCACGGAAAATTAGGTTTTTGGCAAGATGCGGGAAGCTCGTCCCGTCAGATATCAAACAATTAAACGGAGAGCTAGTCAAAAATGTACGAAATGTACGGGACCAGGACGACAAACAAACCAACTACTATGCGGTGTGTCTACCCTCGATTTGTGGAAGACGCTCATGAAAGACTTTTACTTCAACTGCTCGAAACTGAGTTGGAAACCGACAATAGATTATTGTTCCTTGAAGAGACATGGCCCGGTTGCCCACATGATCCTGAATGTGAGCACCGTGTATTAGTTATCATCAATGTAGTCCACCCCCCGCACCAGCAACTCGTTTCATGGTTAACTGCAGTTATTATCGGCATATTTTTAGAGTAACCTGTTCATGAAAAACTCGAGTCGTATATGTGTACCTGCGATATTGAAATTGGTCACCTGAGCAACAGTTCTTGCAGAATTGGTGTCCCAGTTCCTCAACCACTTTCTCAAGCAGTTCCTTTTTCAGGCACCTCTTTCATTCATTATAATGGCATTTGTCTGAGAACCTTTGGGATCTTTAATAGTGTCTGTGTGCCATTCACAGGTGCGTTCCTGATACCTTACTTCCTGAGTCTGGCCTTTGCCGGAATGCCCATGTTTTTTATGGAGGTCAACTTTGGCCAGTACTGCAGTTTGGGTATTATGACCTGCTGGCGAGCCTTTCCAATCTTAAAAGGTAAAAAAAAGGCCAAGAACAATGTCACCAACAAAACAAAAAAAGTAACAAGGAATAAAGAAGTTCTCCTTAGCAAAGTAGGATATTTGAAACAAAGTTAGTATAATCCAGCGTTATCGAGTGCTTACAAATAACCAAGAGGATAAAAGGTAAAATGCAAACTGGGGACTGTGCCCACTGTTAAAACTGGAAGATAAATTATGAACTTGTATCTGATTTGTGAGGACCATGAATGATTTGACTTATGGCAATGACCTCCTGTAAAAGCTCGTGCTGCCATTGTTGGTTTTTTCTTCAATTGTTATGTTTATTCTCCAGGCGTGAGTTACGGACAGTTCCTCGTATGTTTCTATGTGTCCATCACTTATGGAGTTGTCATCTCCTACACGTTCTATTATTTCTTCATCTCCTTCACGTCCTCACTACCTTGGGTTGGCTGCGGGCAACCCTGGAACACTCCAATGTGCAGGTACTGGCAACTGACAACGAAGGAGAATAGAATAAGATCTAGAGCTGTGAAGGATACCTATCCATGGTAGTTGCAACGGGGAAGGGGATCCCCCACCCCAGTGGCATATCCAGCGGGGAGGGGACAACATGCCCTCTGACCTTTTTTGTCAATAATACTTCATAGATGAATAGGAAGAAAGTGATTGGTATAATTATTATTTATCACCACCAAAAGGACTCGGCTGTGCCATGCTCGATATTTTTTTTAACGTGGCATGCGTGTAAAAACACTCCCTTTCATTACAAAATGTGAAATTTGAACTCAATCAGACATATAAGCTCATTTGAAATTCAAGGCTGCATGCGTGCCAGCCCGCGTGCATTGAGCACAGCAGAGGAGTATACAATTTAGCCCCTGGCGCCCCCCCCCCCATTGGCTCCAGAACCACGTCTGGCTTCATGGATGGAACAGGTTGCAAGCAATTTGATTCACTTTTGGTTTGCTAAGGTTTGGAAAGAAAAAAAAACAGTTTTGTAGGTATCCAACTACTATGGAAGTGGACAGGTCTAGGAAACTAAAAAAAAATTAATAATAAATTAAACCTGATCAAATAAAAACTGGTCATATTAGCACTCTTTCTTCATTCCAGCGACATCGTTATGGACTGCTTCCAAGTTGAAGGGGTGATCACTTTAGACAATGAGTGTGTGCCGTTGAAGAATTTGACAGAGTTTGAGTTGGAAGAGTTAAATATCACCGTTTCTGATCCAGGGAACTTCAGCCTGGAAAACTACAATGATCCTTGGAAAGCAATGCGCAAGTCTCCCAGCGAAGAATATTGGATGTATGTCTGCAGTGAGTTTGATTGGTTTAAAAAACACTTTTGACTGGTTTTTAAAATCTATAAATTTCTCATTGCAGTGTTTACTGTCCTTAAAAGCAGAACTGCTTTTCAATTGATGTTTTTCCCCGAAGTTTCCTACTAAATTTTGGGAGTATTGTTATCTTGGATCGATGACTCAGAATGAAATCAGACTTGAGACGCAGAATTGTTTGACTTGAGACTTGACTTCGAAAAAAATTGACTTGAAATTTAACTTGAATTGGGAGAACTGATTTGGGACTTGAGATTAATAAATAGTAGGCAGGGGTGAGATTTCTCCGGACTTTTCCCGATTGCAGGGTTTTTTCATCAAGATTTTCCATATGTCGGGATTTTCAAACGTCAATCTCTTTTAAAATCAGAAAAATCCTGAGGTTAGCTTGGGTGTGTAAAAGTTGACACAGAACACAAAAATGGGTGTTTAGGTATAGTGCCTTTGGTCAAACATAAATGTGCACTATAGACATTGGCGGAAAACCCGGGGGATGGGGGATATCCCCCCACACACTTTTTGACCCAGGGGATCACCAATATGATCACCCGCCCTTCAAGTCATTGACGTTATGCGTAACCGTAGCCGCTCCTTAATTGACGTGGTACCTTGGACCATGTGCTGTGTCACTCTCTGCATAAAGATGATCTGTCAGAAATCGTCCCCCACATTTGACAAGAAATCTCCGCCCATGACTATAGACCTGCGTTGTTGCTGTAGGCCTCTCCAAACGTCTCGTTACTATTTTATTGATATTCACTTCCCCCGTCTCTCCACTGACTCGTAGATATTTATCAGCTTTTGTTGAAATAAATACGAGTCAAAAGTGTGTATTCAACTTTAAGCAAATCTGTCTGTTGCGCTTTGAAGCTTTTCATGCTGAGGGTGGCAAGTTGAGTGTAGAGGTTTGCGGTAGCACCACACAAGGATATCTCTTT